TGCTGGCTGGGGAATTCTGGGAGTTGAAGTCCACTCATCTTAAAGTGGTCCAGTTTGGACAACACTGCTCTAAGGGAAGCATTCCAATATAGAGTACATCAAGCTGGTACATAAGGACCACCCCAGCTCATCAGGTGTTCAGTCAGGTATTGGCAGTAAAGGCTCCAGGCCCATCTTCCGCCCTTCACTTGATTTATATTCAGACATCACGTCCACAACAGAAGTTGTATCAACACTCAAATCCAAGGAAAAAAAATCTTGCAATGGGTTCAATATGTGTACCTCCTCAGCAACAAATCAGCATGACAGAGTGTTTGGGGAGGACTCTTTGGCTCATATCCTGACTTAGTTGTCAAATTCTGTGGGGACTTTGGGCCTGTCAAAATCTATCTAATCCACCTCCCAGCATTGTAGTGAGGATAAAAAGAAGAGCAAATCATTTACATATACACACATGCCCGAGCTCCCTATATCAAGGGAGAAATACAAATAGAACAAATACTCCTGCTTCTTACATTTTCCTCCACCTCTTTCTGCAGTTGCTCATGCTCACGGCTATCCAGTTTTGCAAGGTTTTGGGTGAAGAGCCGTGCCAGCCTGAGAGAGAGCCCATATGGAACTGGAAATAAGAAAATAAATTCATCAGAATTTGCCATTGCCTGTCAGCAAGGAGCATAACCAATTAACACAGAGATGTAATAGGAAATAATGGTGTGGTTCAACCACAGAGTTTATCTGACATACAGTGGACCATGTAAACAGTGGCTAGAATTCTTGGACACATATAATTTTGATATAAACAAATGTAACTGAGGCATAGAGTTTTGCTGGACTTCAAAAATTAGAATCTGCATCATAGGCTTATACTGGTTACATAGTGATTCCTTCCCTACTTCCAAGTATAACTGTAGGAGAGAGGAATGGTAGGAATTTCTAAGAGATAATTATCAGCACCTTCAGATCAGGAATTCCAGAGACAGCCAAAAATCAAACTTATATAAAACATATAGGTTTGTGGTACAGTTACATCCAAAAAAACAATGCAACTGTACCAATGTTCATGAGAGTTCTTTGAAAAATTAACACCATCTCAAAAAACAAGTGGGAGATCTTTTTTGAACCAACCCTATACTAAATCCTTATCTATGCAGACAGCTTTGTTGAAAGAGGTGGCTTACAAGCTACCATTCTCTCAGATTTGAAAATGTGGATAGAGATATTGACTTGAGGGAGTATGGGTAGTCCTCGGCTTACATCCATTCGTTCAGTGACCAAAGTTATGGCACTGCTGACAATATGGACATATGACTGGTCCTTGAAGTTCCAGCCAGCACAGCACCCCTGTGGTCATGTGATTGTGAACCAGCTATTCAAATGCCCAGCTTATGATTATGATGTGGCAGGGAGCCAGAGTCAAGTGATTGCCATTTGCGACCTTTCCTGTTGGCTTTTCACAAGCAAAGTCAATGGGGAAGTCAGCAGAGGAGGTCACAAGTCACTCTGCTAAGTCACTCCTGCTTTTTGTCCTGCCTGTAGTACCCTCCCCCTACTCGCATACAGCCTCCCCCCGATTTGTGTGTGGCCTGTGCTGGCCCTCCCCCAGCTTTCTGAAACTCATTCACGGCCTGCACCAGCTCTCCCTGGCCTTCTGCGACTCACATGGAGCCTGCACTAGCCCTCGCAGGCCTTCCCCTGGCCTCCTGCAACGCACACACTCCTTACCTGGGACTCCTGCCTCTTCCTGCTTAACGACCCACATATCTTGGGGTTACAGTGGCAACTGGGACTGCCCAGGATTGCTGTCACTAAGCAATGCGGTCACGTGACATCACATTTTTCAACCACATTGCTTAACGACAGTAATCCCAGTCCCAATTGCCATTGTAGCCCGAGGACTACCTGTATCCTAACAAGCAGACCGTCACACACCTTTGGAAGCTTTGGATGGGTGAGAATTCCTAGTCACCTAGATGTTTGAATCAAGTTTCAGATCAGATGCTGAAGGAGCATCCATCCCCCTACCACCACCATTAACTTCAGAAACAAGATATGTTCCATCTAGACCTTCTTCTCCACTTTGTAAAATGAGCACTCACTGAAATCCTTAGGATTGAGAGCAAAGGATGAGTAGTCTTGCTTATGCACATTGTTTTTGATCTTCCAGTGGACTGTGTCTCTTCCTTTCAAATTACCACTGCGCACCATTGGGGTGTCCAGGTGGTCTGAGGTCATGAGACTCTGCCTGAGCAGATAGTGGTCCTCCTTGAAACCAACTGTACGACCTTCAGAGAAGGAAAGGAAGTTAGTATTTGCACTTCAACATCTTGGATCTAATTGTAAATCTTTTTCATACATTAAACAGAATAAGTAAAATACTTTTGTCAAAGGAGAAGCACCTTATTTACATCCTACCATGAGCTTCCCACTCCCTTCTCCCAAGTAGACCTATTTCTAAATAGTAATGGTACTCAGATTGCTGGCAATAAGCTGTATTATTATTGTTAATTTTTGTCTTGGCCATCCGTGACTTGAATTCCTAAGTCTGCCCCTCCTTATTGTTATACCTTACATCCACCTTATGTCATACATTTTTAGCATGTGTCCATATTATATATTCCAGAATCATGACACTAAAATGTTCTAAAATGCATTTCCATTCACCACATTAAGTTTTATGTTTCCTTACATTCTATAAACATATGGGATTATTCTCCTTCTGCTATTCTGAGAGTTAAGGGCAATGTATAGGTTTTGATGGTCCAGGTTCTCCCAAAAATGAAAGGCTTCAGGGAGCAATGCTTGGAAAGTCCTAATCTTCTTAGGACCACAGACAACAACTCCCTGGCAGGAAACAGCTTGGTAGAAGTTAGACAGATAATTACTGATTAAGTGGCAGGCAGCTTATACTAAGCTTCAGCTGCTATTTCCCCCCCCCCCCCAATATACTACCCTTCTTTGAATGTAATATAGCTTTCTCTCAATCTTGATCTAAGCACACCATTCTAATGCTGTTATCACCCATCCCAAAGACCACCTATAGATTCAAGAGATGTACCTCGTGCACAACAGGGTAGCAGAGCCAAACAGCCCTAGGTGTCAGAAAAACAAAAAAAGAAAAAGTGTTGAATTGCTTTTAATGCACAAGTACCAAAATAAACTTACTGACAAGAGAATTGACCTCTCTGCTTGTTGCAGTTGCTTAAGTGGATGATACAAAATACATTGCTAAGAAGAAAGATGACGAAGCACACATTGGCTGCTACTACTTAAAGATCTCCATGAAGGGCAGCAAGAGAAGTATATCAACCTGGTTTATATGGCACAGGCACTGCATTAATAGACAAGCCTAATATGGCCTTGACCACTTTGGATCAATGATGTAATTGATTATGGCAATGCATCATACAAATCAGACCTGCTTCTTCTACCTATATGCTTCTTATTTTTCAGGCGCTTCTCAATATGACAAGTGTTCACTGGCTGTCTCTCCATTCATTTTCATTTGCTCCTTGGCATTGATGTTGCAATGCCATTGTTCCTTCATCTTCCCCACCGGACAAGGGTCTACTCCAACTCCACACCCCAATGTCTTCCAATATGTTCCATTCCTAATTCCCCCATATAATCATCTTAGGATGCAGCAAAATATCTCGGATATATTTGACAAAAGTAATCTTTATAAATAATGATTCTACTAAGTTGAAGAAAGTTGGATCTAGGAAAATTTTTTTTTATCCTTTAATCAATATAAAGATGGCATCAACTAGGAGCCTACATGGACAAGACAGAAAATGTATGACACTGACCTCTACTTTGTACATGAACCTGAAAGAGGATTTTTAAAATCTCCAAATAGTTAGAAAAATGATTCAAACCACGCCACCCAAGACTCCCTGTTTTCCTTTGTTACTACAGGTTGGAAACATAAATTTTACCTTGCAACAAGCACAGAATTTCCAGCACAGGAGTAGCAGCAACCCCAGGAGCAGTATCAGAAAAATGAGTAGGGGAATAAGCCAAAGAAAACTTCCTGGTGGACATTCTATATATAATGACAGCAAATGCAGACATGTTCCAAATTAATCAGGGGACCAAAGGAAACAATATTATTTTTTTCCCCCTACTTAGGGAAGAGAAGAACAAGGAGGCATGCTGTAACTCAATGGCAGAACACATGTATTGCATGTAAAAACTCAGCACTGGTATCTCCTGATAGAGATAGCCAACTGAAAACTTTGAGAACTCCTGCCAGTCCAGGAAGATCAGGTTTCCACGGCCCAGCAGCCTCCAGAAGAGATGGATTACAATCCCATCATCCACCTCAAGATAGCATATAGTGATGCTGTCTGCAGACCATGGGTTTTGTAATTTAAAACATACGGATGGATTAATTTAGAGCAGCAGAGTTTAGGCTAATTGAATTGACTTTATTTACTAAAAGTCCAGGAGCCACTATCCAGAGCTCACTGCAGAAACAAACTTGGGATGAATGGAAAGCAAGTCTCCAAACACCATTTGAATCAAGGGGTTTGCTTCCAGGGTCTGAACTGGTCTTTTTCACATAAAGTCCACCCCTGGTCATTTCAAGATTTCTTCATCTCAGCAGCCCAATTTAAATTTTTAAAAAATCATTTGTTGTTGCTCTTGCTAAAAACTGAAGTTAGACATCTTTGCCAATCAATTGCGAATAATTCAGAAAACTACTAGTAGATCCTGATCTACCATGATGTAATCCCATTGGAGAGAACAAGAAAATATTGAGAGAGATAAATAGAGTTCTAAAAGCAATTGAAAAACTAGTTTACAGGGGGCTTATTGAAATCTAAATAACAGAGTTGGCCAAGTCCTCATTACTGAAATCTGTTTCAACATTGACTCATTTGGTTAATTTGAAATAAACCAAAAAATTCTAAGTTTTAACTGAGAAGTTAATTAAGGCAATGCAACAAATGCACCTGCTACATCTTGGGATCCCATCTCTCCTTAGAAAGTCAATGCTTACCTTTCTTCCTTTGCACAAGAACAGTATTGTTCTGTGCGAGGTTGGCATCTTCTTCCCTAGTATAGCGGTAAATGCAGTCATCCTCCTCATCTTGGAAGGAACAAATTTGAGCTGCAGAGACCAAAACAACAACAACAACAACCCAGAGGTAATATTGCCAGTCAATCCTGGAAATTGCTGGGATCAAAATTCTATTGTCAGCAACAGAGAAAAAAGAGAAAGAGCTATTCTTCCATTTGAGGGCCATTTCAGACAAGCACTACAAGGTTTGAGTGATTCAATCTGCCAACACGCTCACAAGACAGGTGGAAAGAAGCTTTCTTGGCTTTAAAAGCCTGGTCTAAAGGGGATAAGCCTGAATCAACAAGAAGGAAATAAGTCCCAGGGGTTTCATTGCAACTACTCCAAGTGTGGCTAATCCAACCCAATATATATCATTGCCATCTAATAGATTACATTAGAATATCTGTAATAAGTCCATTCATGATGCAACTCCATTCAGCATGCTTAGATGCGTCAGTGCAAAATGAGAAAGGGGAAAGCCAACTAGCAGGGTATAGTGTTGCACAGCTGTATCTTTATTCTTTGCTCAGTTTATTGGAGGTGTGAAAAGGCCTACAGCTGCTTAACATAAAGTGGTAATCTCTGATCATTTTCTTACAAGCAGATTATACTGTATTATAATGCTACCCAGCCATTGCTGTGACATCAAATCATTAATGAAAATAAAATTTGTATGTTAGGTGACACTGCGTGATGCTATAAATCACTAGTGAGATAAGGTCCACTGATCAGCATGCTTCCACTAACAAGTGATACGTTCACATAATAAGGAAACAGATTTAAACAGCTTATCTCTGCCACCCATTTTTTTGCAACTGCAACTGTGATATAATGAACATACTGTACAGCACTGGGAATCAGTCTAAGAGAAGGGTATCCCATTCTTCAATATTGCATCTGTGAAAATAAGAACACTTAAAACACCCCTGCTTATCTTGTCCCAACATCGTTCCTGGGCTCTTCCTGTCTTATCCAGCCATAATAGATGGCTGTTGCTTTTAATCAATCTTTTGCATTCCAAAATAGTCTGTGCTCCACTGGTTTGGGTGACAAACTGGTATGTTTATCCCTCTGGCTACAGGTATTTTAGAAAGTCATAATTGAAGATGTGCTGCTATCATATTTCAAAAGAAACTTGAAGTGTATGTAATGAGAGGCTTATACCTTGATTGGTGATTTACTGTCTGTGTACATGTCTTTACATGCATGCCCATTAAAGATGAGATGCATGCACACCCAAGGGATTTTACTCCTAGATTTTGGTTCTGAGAAAGAAGAGCTAATGGCATGATAACTGGAACAACTCACACAGTTTTAACAAGGGGTTCCCAAAAGGCAAAGCTGAGACAAAATAGAGACACTAAAAGGACAGACAAACCAAAAATATACAGCGGCCTTTAGTAAAAGGAAAACTAGGAATGCCTAATGCTTACGTTATTCTCCCTTTTCCCCCACTTATCAATTTCGACATTTTCACTAAAGCAATGTGGAATGTTTCGCTTGCATTTGAATATTAAACTGGGCAGTTGAGGAACTACGCTACCTTGCTTCAATTCATCCACCAGCTCGATCTTGAAACGGCACTCTGAGCATTTCTGTCCCTTCTTCTCTCCAGTCCCCCAAGCCTGACACTGGACACAACTTTGGAATTCTTCCTCACACACCCGCTGCAAAGCCTATTCATGAGAGAGAGAGAGAGTGAGAAAAATGCAGACGAAACACTCAGTTCTAGATTAGTGTTTGAGCACCAAGAAATGGTGATGAGTGGAGAGATGGATACCACATGGAAGGAATCAGGAAGGACAGTAACATGCCACATGCACGTAAAACTCTATCATGTGAGATGCAGAACACAGTCTTGTGAATGAAGCCAGTCAAGAAGAGGGGGTGAATGAGAAACCTCCCACAGAAAAGGAGATGGCATTATGATTGGGAACCAGCAGACAGAAGATAAGGCCCTCTGCAAAAAGAGAGCTATGAGTTCCCCAAGAAATCGAATAGGGAACTTGATTCTGCTGTAGAATTACTGTTACGAATCTCTCTTCTTATGCTCAGCCTGTAAGTATGTTTAAATGTGCCTTGATTCACTGACGTGCCTCCTTCAAAGACAACTGAACCCCCAGTAAACACTGCAACCCTGATTTCTCACCACTCAGAAGGGAGCTGCACACTCTACCCTAGCAAATCATGCTTTGCTGCTTCTGTTGATTTTCTTTAAAATGTACTGCCCTGATTGATTGATTATTGTAAGAAAGAGTAGGATCAGTTATTCCTGAATTCAGGAAGAGTTAATATTGACAGATGAAGAAAAGAGAGTGTGCTTGTGTGGCTACATTTGTACAGCCTTGTATCTGCATATGAATGCTGTTAACAACATGAATGCATTATGAAAAGGCAAGGGGATTCAGATACAAGAACTTGAATAATATATTCCTGAACCTAAATTTCCTACTACAATATAGCAACAGTAATCAGTAGGTATTATATTAATAGTCATGGTCCTTTGCTTATCAAATATGCACTTTCATGCACTTACCAAATTTCCAGTTTCACAGGTGGGACCAGTATGGGCAGTGGGGCTATTGCAGAGGCACCTACCACATTCACATCTCCCACGTCCGTTACAGATCAGCTGCAAGAGACCAGAGTAACTGCTCAGCTTCCTTCTCTGTATACATTCTTGGTATCTTGCAGTAACAGACAACTTTACCTGACCTCAGTGGCAGATCTCTTTCCATTACCAGATAACATTTAAAAGAGGGGGAAAGAACCTTCTTCTGTTTGTTTTTATTTAAGGATCACAGTTTATGTTAACAGCAATAACGTCAAGTGTCAAGCAGACAATACCTCACTAGAGATCTAGTAAGATCGAAGATTCCTTTTAAGAGCCAGTAAGCTGAATTGTCAATTTTGGATTTCATCTCCAACTTATTAAGTTTGTAATAACTGTGTACTGGCAAATTTTCACATGGATTGTTATATTAAGTATTTCTGCGTCCAACACACAGGGGTGGGCAACCTGTAGGCCACAGGTCATTTTTTGTGGTCCCGTTAAGATTGTGCTACTGAAATTCAGCACAAAATGGCCATTTGCAACCTCTGAGAAGCTTAATACATTTAATTTTTATTTTAACAACCCCAACTCCTAAATATTTTTTTCTAAAAATTTGGTCTAAGGCCTACAAAACCTGCCCCTACCTCCGTCCAGTGATATTACTACATAATCAGCCACACTCTTGTACCCTTCAGAGATCAATAAATAAATATAAATAAAAATATAACTCCCTGGAGGAAAAACATTGGTCATTCCTGTTTTAACAGCTACACTTTATTACATAAGGCCAGATAGGAAAAAGGAATAAGTTTCTGTTGTATCTTCACTGCCTAAAATGAGGGCTGAAAACATAGAATCTATTCCAGCCATCCTGAACCTTGGGTCTCTCCAAACACTTGGACTTCAACTCCCAGAAATTTTAGCAGTGGTCAAGCTGGCAGAGAATTCCTAGAGTTGAAGTCCACATATCTGGAGGGCACCAATTTGGTGACTATGCTTTGCAGACATTTTGCCTCTCAACTTATATACTCTAAATATATTTTGCAGTATTGCTAAGAAATAGAGGATTTAAGCAAAAGGAGAGAGAAAGGGTTCTACAGAGTCTCTATATCCAGCAATCCAATTTTGTTAGCCACCCAGAGTTGCCCTTGCCATAAAATCTGTTAAAATAAATAATAAAATAGATTTCTATAATAACACACCAGTGTTTATTTACCAGTATACTTTTTAGCCCATTTCAACAAAGGACTCCAGAAACAATTGTTCAAAGCCAAGGCATGTGGTCATCTTTCAGCCATTTGAACAGGAAGCAAGTTTCATATTCACCTCATGACCTGTACTGATAGCACTTCTGGACAGGCAATTTACTCACCCCATTGCTGCTGACACAGGTTTCGTTGCTTGTGGGACACTCACAGCCAGGGCCTTCCCAACCAGCTTCACATACACACTGACCCATGTAGCAGCGCCCCCGGTCTGTAGAGAGACATGGAACAACAGCACAAAGACATTTGGAGCCAACTTACATACATAGCAGGGCTGTTTTTACATTTATATGTTTAATGAAGTCTTAATAAAGTTTTAATTCATCTATTAGCAGTACAGAGGCTGTTCACAAAGAAATACACTATACAATTATATATGGCTAAACTAAGCAAAGGGGACAAGTCAGAAGACAGGAAATGCATGAGTAGAACATCTTGTTTTCCTTTGTGTGTCTGTGTGTCTGTGTGTATGATGCATTCTAAAAGCCCTCAAAGAAAAGACGAGAGACCTGTGAACATTCAAAACCTTTCTGCACATGCCTAGGAATTCAGTTCAAACAAGAAAGCAACTGGAGCCAACTGTTTGCTATAATTATACCTCACTTTTCCTCGTTCAAAGCAATATGCATAGAATCATTCCTTACTTCATGGAGAAGATCTATCTAAGTGGTCGCTAAGAGCTGATGCTTTGATGGTACATAATCAATCAATCAATCAATCAATCAATCAATCAATCAATCAAACCTTACTGTAATTTGTGAGGTAGTGTGAGCTGAATGAAAATGACCAGGCAGGAGGAATTCTAAAGTGACTTAACTCTGCCCAACTTGCATTCTTGCAATCCCTATCAGAATTCTGGTGCTTCCTCTAATTAATATTTTCACCCAGCTGCACATTCCATAAATAATATAACACATGGTCTGACCCTGAAGAAACAGATTTCTGCCACCAGAATCTCCAGGTATTCTAAACTTTGTCACTGAGACTCCAGGCAGGCTATGCTGAACCTTCATCAACAATGGGACATGCCCTCAAAAGCAGTCTTCTTCAATTTTGATCCCTCCAGGTGTGAGGAACTTCAACACAACTGGACACCCCCAAGTTGGCTAAGGCTGCTCCAACATTCCTGATTCCTTCATGACTTGTCGGGTAATACTTCACAAGGCTATAGCACAGTTGGTCAATGAAATGAGGGCAGAGAATGCAATATTTTGCCCTGCCCAAACATTTACCATTGCAGAGGAATCCAGAAGTGCGGGGACACTGCAAGTTGTCAAATTCACAAAACTGTCCCTCAAAGCGCTGGGTGAGATCTTCAGAATAGCACTGACAGATCCCACAGAGGCATTCGCCTTTGCCGGAGCAGGGCTCTGTATCTCCAGGTCGTATGCAGGCCAAATTGTCAGTAGAGGAGGATGTTGAGCAACTACACAGGTCCCCCTGCCTGTCAAAAAGAGAGGAAGTCAAGCATGAGAATGGCCGTGAGATGCACAGATATGATATCTTGTACAGCTAAATAGAGGCCAAAGAAATACAATATTTAGGGTATTTGTCTATTGGCAGGGTCTGGTTTCATTTCTGACATATAGATAAAGTGCTTTGTAAGTTGTTATATTTGCTACTGACCTTAGGGGGCATCATTCGATAAGTTTCACCCTTATATTGGGACTCATCTGGCTAGTAGATCTTCTATATTTGTTCAGCCCTTTACCAGGATGTGAATTCACAGGCCTTGTATATAGTATATACTTAGATTGGAACTTAGACTGGAACTTAGATTGGCCCCTGCCCTTCTGGACTTTAGGAAGGGCCTGAAGACATGGCTGTGCCACCGCGCTTGGGGGTCTGATGGGAGTGGTGAGCCTTTCCAATGGTTATATTAAATGGGATGTATTGCTTGTATTCACTTGTTGACTGTGGTTATGTTTATGTTTAATTGAGTTTATAATAGTGGTCTTAGGACGGTTGTAACTTTATTTTTGTTTATATTTTTATTGTTCTCGCTGCTGTTTTTAATTGTTGTGAGTCACCAAGAGTCACATATGTGAGATGCAAATTGAATACATAAATAAGGCACATCTATGTATATGTGTGTGTGCGTGCATGTGTGTGTGTGTATAATCCATTATTTGGAGGCTACCTAAAATAAGAACAAAACTGTCTGCCAAGAAGTTTCCCTGAGGGGCAAGAAGATAATTGATCCACTTATCAGTTCCTCCATTTCATCAGCAAGGAAGGCATAAACCTTCTGGTGAAGGAAAGACAATGGGCCCCATGCTGAAAGAAAAACCTAAGCATGATACTTGCCAGCCTGGATTGCACACACATTGTCCACAAACAAAGTTCCCATTGAAACCGCACTTTGGTGATCTAACTTCCAGGTTCTGCAAACAAGAGAGGAAACATTACTGGACCTCATTCCAGATACAGAACATTACTGTTAGCCTTACTATTTCTATCAGTAAAAATTGATCATATCAGGGTTAAATTTCTTGTATCACATATCATCCAGGTCTAGAACAATTCTTGGGACTGCTAAACAAAGAGGAACACACCTTTTCGCAGGAGCAGGCTTCGCAGAGAATAGAGGCATCAATCTCCATTTTGTCACTGAAAGAGGAGGGCTTAATGTGGATAATACCTTTCCGTTCTTTCTCTGGGAGATCACAGACATGCTTGTCGCCTATGTGCTTATGCGCTTTCACATGCACATTGAAGGTTCCCTGGACAGAAGAAAGAAGTCTGTACATTTTCTGGATTCATTTAGGAAAAGAAGCTACTTTATCCTCTGGGAACTGAAAGACTAGAAACTAGAGACAGATCTATGGTACTTGGGGCCCACTGGATGTTTTGCCTTATAACTGCTCAGTTCCTCATTTTTAGCAAGACTAGTTGAGGACCAATGGGAACTGAAATCTGAAATATCTAGTGGCCAGTAGATTCCTTCCTCCTGGACTAGGTCAAAAGCTGAATGGATAGAAACATGGAAAAAAGATTTTCCTCTCTTGAGTTTAGAAGAGAAGATGCAAGAAGCAGAGGCTTGCAAAGCTACTCCGTACTAACTGCTTTATCTCCCAGTCACTCAGGTACAGCTGGGATGGAGCTGTAACCATCCTACAGAATACAAAGATGATCTGGGATTTGGGACACTACTCTCCCTGGTCTAAACAGCCAGTTACCAACACTATTAAACCCTCTGGCATGGCACTGGAGCTGGGTCTATTTACTGCCACAATTGCTACAGAAAGAAATTGGTTTATAATCCATCAGAAATTAATGCAAATCCAGGGATCAACAGGTTACATCCATGGCTCAACCTGAGATGAGGACATGAATCACAGACTGTTCACATTTCTGTTTCCTTTAGCTCAAGATGGGCAATCTACTTGCAGCCAGAGGGTGCACTTTTGAGCACAGTTATTTTCAGCAGCTGGGGGCCACAGGGGTGGGCAGTGACACCATGATGTTACACCAGCGGAGACATGCTTTTGTTAAGTTTTTTAAACATTTTCAGATTTCTGGGGTGGAATTTACTGATTAAGTTATCCTAGACTTACTGAAATGTGTAACGTGTTTAGCATACATGGGGTTTGGGAGGAAACTGTACTTTGAATCTGCCAATGATTTTGGCAGTGCAATCTTGAAATGCTGCAAAAAAAGTGGTTCTGCACTATAAGTAGCTCCCAGTTTGCCCTCTGTTGCTTTACGTTATGCAAACATACGCTCAGAGAAAGCTCCCTTACCAAAAGATCTAAATGCCTTTCCAAAATCAAGAGTTTTGCTTGTTTTTAATTGTAAATAACTAAGGATAACTAACACAGAGGATAACTAAGAAATAGGACTGCAAAATAGAGCTCTTACCACTTCACCTCGAACAATACGGAATGAACCAGACTCTATTTTTTCACTTTTTTGGGATGTTATCTCAGTTTTCATGGCTTTTGGGGTATGGTAAGCTCGAATGTCCATCTTGGAACGAATACGCTGGGAAAGGATGTGAAAAGAAAACATGCCGAACTGGAATGAATTCAGGGCAGTGATTTCATAATTTGAATTACCACAGTTAATAATATCCAACTGTAGCACAGAGATATATCAGGGAATGTCTTGCCAAGCATGATTCTGACCATCTGGTTTGAACATTGAGGGAGGGCCATCTCTGGGTCCCTCCATCATAGGAGGTTAATGGGACTTGAACCAGGAAACAGGTCTTCTCAGTGGTGGCCCCCACTTTATGGAACCCACTTCCCTGAAAGTACAATTGGTCCCTCCCCTCCTTAAGTACAGGAAGGCCCTCAAAACAGACTTATTTCAGTAAATGTTTGGGCCCTAGACTGTTTTAGTACACATCTATATTAGTTCTGTTACTGTCCTTTAATTATTAGTTGAAATTCTGATTTTAGGTGAGGAGATAGCTATGTTATATTGGTTTGCTCATGTAAACCATTCAGAGTTGTGTAGATTGAAATGGTCTATAAATATTGTTAATAATTAAAAACTGTGCAGGATTGAGTTTATCTGCAAGATTTAATGGACCCATTTTGCCCCTTAATCCCCACCAATCCCTCCAAATGCAACAAAGGGCCCACATTTTTGGCCACAGGCACCTTATACAACTCCATGGGCCTCCCTTTTTGAGATACACAGTTTTTACACCCCTGATTTAGACCATCTAATTGCTACCTGTTTGGAAATATCTTAGGAATTGGCTGAAATAACAGCAGCTTTAAGAACGGATTGCAAGGATGAAATGTGAGTAAATCATTTATGGGTAATTATAAGAGAATTGTGTTACCCTGAGAAGTAACAACATAAAATACCAGACATTGCTTCTTACCTCAAAAGCCACACGGATCAATTCCACAATATTAGAAGAATCTTCTTGAAGCCTCCCAATTTCAGAGATTGGAAAATATGTGTGCAGTTTCTAATGAAAAAAGTACTATTTATTTATTATAATGCAATAATGTAATATTATAAGGACAAAATGGATAAAAAAGAGAAGGAAAGTGTTAAGAAATCCAAGCATAAACAAGAATTTAGAGTTACTCTTATCTTTCTATTACAATTATGGTTAACTGCAGAGTTAATTAAGACTAAACACAAGCTACAATGCCCCAAAATTTCCTCTGATTTCTTTCCCTGGATTCTGATGGAACATTTTCCATTACCCTTTACTGAAGAGTGTGAGTACAGTGGTTTGGCCTTTTAAAGTGAATGACAAAAACTCATTGGGTGGACTCTGTTCACCTTCATTTTAACATCCCTCAAATAAGAGCTTGATTTCTGAGTAAGATTCCCTCAGTTCATCTGGAGGAGCATATGGAGATAGCATGAGCTTAAGCTAATGGTGTGTGAGAGAATTTGAAGGGTCTTAACACTAGCTGAATACTGTAGGTTATCAGTACTAACAAGGAAATGGGTTGTAGTATTCTTCACTACTAGCAGCACCTTTTGTAATGTACCACTTTGCCAGTTGGTGTAGCCACCACACAGTGCAAGATCTAAGAGAAGTTCTGAATTTTAGAGCCAAACTGCACATCCTCCCAAGAAATCTATGACTGGTCTATGCACATGCAGAGTTACAGTAGGGAGGCTGGGGTATTTAGCTTTTCCCTAGGTTTTGTCATTAACTAATAAGCTACTAGTTGCTTTACAAAAGGAAAAGACAATTTCCCAAATCACGCCTTTGTTTTTCTTCCCACAAATAAAAGGCAATATTTTTCCCAAATCATGCTGGCTGGAAAATCCTAAGAGTTGAAGTCCACTCATCTTAAAGTTGTTAAGGTTGAGAAACACTGGTCTAGAGAAAATGAATGGAGGGATACTGTTCTAAGAGGCAAACTAGACCTGAAGTTACTTGCATTAATGTCTTTTTTCAATCCAAAAAGCAGTAAAACAGAAGGTTTAATCACCATGGAATGGGGGTGATAGATGCAGACCAATCTTAGATGTCCTAATATAATAAATGTTTTGGCCTATCTATGGATAAAGAGTTATGAAGTAAAAGAAGAGATATCTTTGAGTTATCTCTAACATGGATTATTTAGCTAGCCACTGGGTGTCTCCACTGCATTGCAAAAACAGACTGCACAGCAGCTCTGGGAAATCAGATACAAGAACATTTCATTCCAAATATTTGGATGATCATATACCTGAAGTTAGATATCCTATCTCTAGGCACTAAGTTAAGTTCAGCCTGCCCCACCCCACCTCCTCAGTTCCTGCAAGCAATCTTCAATGATTTCCTGGTCTACAAAACAGAAGGGATGGTTAGCAGGGACCAGACTACTGATTTCTCAGAAAACTATTTACTGATTTCTCCATGCCCAGCTGATTTTCTGGCTGCCAGGATATGTGGGCAAGGCTCATTTCTGCGCTGGAGGGAGAAATGGAAAGAAACCCCTTCTACTGAAGAATTACTAGATTTATTTTTTTAATGTTTTAACTCCAAATCTTCCCACAGGAAGCGATCTCAGCTTCTTGACTTAGGAGTAAACAGAGTTTACTGGAGTAAACTAGGAGTAAGCTAGTTCCCTTGCTGGGCAAATATCTATAGGCCAGTATTACTCCAAATATTACCACAGGTTGCTGCTTTATACTCCCAAGGTCCCCATATTTTTCCTACTTAATGGCATTTTTCACCTCATAGTAATCGTAGGAGTGGTTGGTGACAGCAAAAATAGGGATGATATTACTCCGCCCCAGAAGCCGCACAAGGGTAGGCACAGAGGGGTAATCCTGCTTGGTATCAAAGGTGTAAGTCCCTGCTTGGTTCAGATGGCATTTTTCATCATTCTTCCTCAGGATTCCAGCAAGGACATTGGCGCCATCAGCTTCGTAATGGAAGGCTGACTCAGTGGAGAAGACCAGGAGGTGAGTGCTGTCATTCCGCCACCCAATATTTTCCTGCAGGTATGAGGAAAGTCTAAGATGTAGAGTGGAGTTTGGCAACTCACAGCCCTAAGCCCCATTTCTGCAGCTCCTAGCCTCCTGAATCACATTTCTAAATTTGATGGAAAACCACTGAATCCCAGCAGCACAATTTTTTGCCCAGTTCCAGCAGGAAATAAGGGTAGCACACATAACTGAACAAAGCCCCCAAACCATCAAAAATAAAAATGCCAAAGCATCCACTGTGACCTCCCCAGATCATATCACCATCATAAAAAAGATAAAAATTAAAGTGTGTCCTCTCTAAGTGCCAGGAGGAATCACATAACTCAGAAAGTGGGAATAGGTGGATCAGAAGCCCGGGTAGGCAGTTCATGATGACTTTTGAGTCATCATGAGAAATGTGCTATGAACAGCTATTCCAGGAATAGTAGTAACCATTGGATATGTCTTTCAAATGCAGCCCAGCTCAAGGTTAATTGAGAAAGCTGGTAATGTCATAGGTCTAGGGATTCCATGCTTATCTTGTCTCCTCAGCAACTATCTCTTCAGCTCCCTAAATTTACAAACATTATTAGGCACTAGGTGGTTTTTTCTCCCTGACTTTCATAAGATCTTTAGTTGGTATTCAGACTATAATATCCTAACTCCAGGGAGGACCTGATAATACCAGAATTTGATAACAGCAACAGTCCCCACAATATGTAATTCCAAAGCTCATCCATATTCTTACAGTCCCCACAATATGTAATTCCAAAGCTCATCCATATTCTTATCAAAGTGCAGACAATGCTGTCTGTGGATTTTCAAAGCAAAGATTTGGCCTAGATTTTCCTATTGCTCTCCCAGTTTGGTATGCAGCTAGGGTAGTTTTTATCCTTTAGAGTGAACCACTATATCTATGCCATCTTCAGCATCCTCCCTGTTTACCTTGCAAACAGCTGTTTGCAATATAGCATCAAATCCACCTTCAGGAGCATCCAGGTTCCCTGATATACGTTCCATCATCAATTCTTGGCTGAATTTATTAATGTCATGGGTTAGACGGATGACATTCTTAAAAGAGAAAGGCGGATCAGCATTTGTCCAAGGTTCTCGCAATCTGAAGGCAAAAGGACAGTTTTAATTACTATCTACTGCCAACTTATCAGAAATCCTGAACATGGATCCCTTGCAGAAACAGTTTATTGTCCACCACAATATTTAATACAATAAATATGAGCAGAACAATTTCTCTTAAAACAGTAAACAGAGATTACATTTAAATCTCACACTAAGACGAATTGAGTTTTGTTATTTGGGAAGTAGCACAATATACAACCTAGCCACTGTTGTTTGTAAACTAGGCTTTATGGTTTAATACAATATGGGAACCTGCCCAGAGAACCCAGTGAATTATGACAATAGGCTCTGAGAAGCAAACATTTTACAGTAGTAGAGGACAAAACTGCTTAATATTGCTACCGCATGCATGTGTACCCTACTTCTGAATAGTGAGACATTTTGGAGCACCAATCCATATTGTGGCTTCAGTTTCTCAGAATGGTACCATTCATTGCTGTTATTTTTGTTTGGTTTTGTCATTTTTGTGTTACAAGGTTATAACATAATACACACACACAGAGGATAAGCTCAAGATGAAGGCTTCGTAACAGTAACATTCCTGTTTCCCTTCAGATTCCTAGACAAACCCATACAGCATCATAGAGTTTCTTTAAAAGAGCAAAGTTGGTTCTCTGTGTATTTTCTGCAGTTCCACCTCAAAGTGACGAAAAAGGAGGCTAAACCAGACAAGAGCCCCCTTTCCATAAATGGGTGAGTCATCTTCTATTCAGGTAGTTCTCAGGATGTGCTTGGGCAAGACTGAGCTGAATGACCCGTACTGTATATTCATGGGGCCATTAAAACACTGTTATGTGCCTCTTTGCGAGATTTTTAGAAGCATAATCTTAGGGTAGCTCCAATGAAGCTATACTCGCTGAAAGTTTTATATGTTTCTTAAAAAGGATATAAAAAAAGGATTGTTGAGGGATTATTCAAACTAATCCTAAATCCATAGCAGTGTAGAGAGAAATGGATCCAGTTGGTGAATTGATGGCAGAAGTAAAACAAATGAGCTCTGACTGAGAGCAGATATATCATGTAATAGTTTGTTGATTGCCATTTACAAGATTTGGGTATACAGTATTACAAGAAAGTGAGAAAGCATTGTCTGAGGAAGAAATATGGGAACAGATGATAGCAGATTAGATAAAAGCCTTAATTTTAAAAAATACCATGGACCCTGAATAGTTCATTTCCAAGTGACCCCAATGGACCACCCATCACCACTACTCACCTTGAGGGCCTCATGTCTGTCTGTGGCGCTGAAACTTTATCCACAAATTTGCCAAAGCCAATAGCATAGTCATCAGTCAGCTCCCTCAAGAAATTTGCTGGCAGGATAGAAGAAGGAAAGGAAGGATGAAGATGTTTGGTGAATTTAGACTAATTCCATGATGGACTTCAGTTACTATAAATATTATGTCCAATCGGATGAAATGGAATCATTCAGTCCTGGAACCAATTAAAACTTACAGCAACTCTGAGAGATGTTTATGACTACACAGAGAAAACACCAGTGTATTATAAGGGAACCCTAATGTAATTTGAGTATACATTATTGTTTTTAAATTATTTATTAGTAAAATGTTAATAAGAGCCAGTTTGGTGTATTGGTTAAGGCACCAGGCTAGAAACCAGGAGAGTGAGTTCTAGTTTTGCCTCAGCACAAAGCCAGCTGGGTGACCTTGGGGCAGTCACTCTCTTTCACCCCTAGGAAGGAGGCAAGAGCAAACCACTTCCGAAAAATCTTGCCAAGAAAACTGCAGGGACTTGTCCAGGCAGTCGCCAGGAGTCAACTCTGACTTGAAGACACAGACTGACTACAAATAATGGCATGATAAAGTAGCAACAACGGTGCATTGGCATATCTGCAAGAAATACTGTACCATTTGCCTGCAAGCCAGAACTGGTGGGGCCACAAAACAGACAAAATAATAGAAAATGAAAAAGCTAAAGTGCTCTGGGGCTTTAGAATTCAAACAGACAAGCACCTGCTGCACAACACTCCAGACTTAACAATTGTTGATAAAAAAGACAAAAGAGTCTGGATAGTGGACATTGCAATACCTGGAGGCAGCAGAATAGAAGAGGAAGAACTGGAGAAAATCACAAAATACAAAGACCTTCAAGTAGAAATAGAACAACTGTGGCAAAAGAAATCAAGGATAGTACCAATAGTAATAGACGCCTTGGGTGCAATCCCAAAACATCTGGAGCACCACTTGAACGCCAGCGGCATTGACAAAATCACCATCAGTCAATTGCAAAAGGCAGCTTTACTTGGAACAGCCTGTGACGATACCTTTAATACCACCAAACAACATCTGCCTATCCCAGGTCCTTGGGAAGGACTCGATAGGCATGGATAAAAATGCCAAATCCAGTCTAAACAACTGGCTGGCTGTGCGACCAACAATAATAATAATCTGTTAATAATTTGAATCTCTCTCTCTATAATTTTATATCCAGATTAATTATCATAGGATATCCTAAAGTACACTCATCTTCAGGCACAGAAAACAACTGTGAAGCTGCTTTATGCTTTCATCCATATATTTCTAGTTTAAAATTCACTATTCCTATGAAATTTTGGGCTTAATCCATTTGTCCTTATCCCACCAAAAATTAAACCTACCTATAGACTACTGTATTTACTTTAATCTCTCCATTCCTTCTTCCTGTGTTTTTTTTTTCTGCCCTGCTTTATCTAAATTTAAGTTCTCTAAAGCAGAAGTGAGTTTTCTTTTTGTGCTCTTTGTACTTTGTTGATACTACATAAATACACAGAAGCAAGAACATGTTTTTTTCATGTCTATCAACTCTGTTCTGATGGTATATGCACATTTGTTCACACAAACACAAACATCCCTTTGAGCTGAGCTTGACTGTTGATGACTTCATGGATATGTCCATGTAGTTATTTGGCAGTAATATACAAGCACTTTCCTATAGCTTTCTTTTGGGATGTTGTATCAGCTTTCCATGCTAGCTATGTTATTTCCTGGTGGTTACCCATCCAAATACTAATTAGCTTCAACCTTGCATAGTGTTTCAAAATTAGCCGAGTTGCCTAGCTGCCATCACCTAGCTAGGCATATTGTGTGAGGACCACCATGATGAGAAACAACTGGGGAGAATTCAGCAAAGCAGTTAAGACTGGAATAGATCTCTTAGTCTCACTTTACAGGCTGAAGCTAGAATAGGTCATGTTTGCAAGGAAAAAAAGCCAGATTTTAACTGTCACATATATAATCCACATGTTGGTCTTAGATTTTCCCCCCCTCTGGTAGTACTTTGTCAACTTCCTTGAAAAATTGCAGATAATTAACTAACATATACCTCAGGTTGCCTTCAAAATGAGATAATTTAATCTCTCACCAAGTTTCTGGCCCATTTCTTTCAGGTTGTCCAAGTCATCAGACATGGAATATGAAAAATCCATAAGGATGTAGAGGTCCACGGGAGATTCAATGGGCTCAAACACCTTCATGGAAATGCTTACTTCGTCACCAGCTCTCAGTTTCAGTGATATATGCTGTGGAGATACTTGTGTTTTCTTCAGAGATGTATCAATTTGGAAATCCTGCCAGGGAAGACATTAGTAATACATAATAGGGATCCTGAAAAGACTGAGAGGAGACTATCCTAGTAGATTGGTTGGACGTACTGATTCCTAAGATAATATTACAGTATTCCCCATGGGTATAAATGGTTGCAGTAAATGAACAAAACATTCTGACTAATTAGAAATTACTTCACTGGGAATAGCTGCTTGGCTTAATTTTTTTTTTTTCCAGACAGCCCAATTTTGTATTTGGCAGTTCTGGAAGATGATTCAGGTGTATTAATTTTCTTAAGTTTATATCCATCATTCTTTCACTGTACCTCTACTCACCTTTGTCTTTAACAACTCTCCATGCATCAGTTTTATGTTGTTTTGGCAGCCATAGCTCTTTAGATTACTTTCCAAATCACAGCGGGTGCCTTTGAAGTTCTGGGATGAGAATAATTAGACAATAAAGTATATGCTTAGAATTGAGGCTCAAAAATAAGTTGTCTTTAGGGACCCATCCTCTGCCTTAATGTTAGGCTAAGGTTAGAATTAGTGACTCATTGAAAAATTCTAATTTACATCTAGTGATCACCTATTTAAAGTTCCCGATCTCTTTTGGCCTTGTGAAGATGTTTAGTATGTTGTGGGCATTGTCACAAAGTGGCTGTTATTGTGGTTAGCCCAGGAGGTAACCTGGCAATATCCCCACCCCCCACCCCCAAACTGGTAGAGTTTTCAGCCTCCAAACACAATTTATTTGAACCTTCTGTTTTCTACTCCAACAGAATACGAGTTTCACGGAAGAAATGCCCATAGAAAAAGAAAGTGTTGTTGTTGTTGTAAACCATGTAAAGCTCCTGGAGGAAACTTCAGTGAAGCTGGGGATACTTTTTTTAATTTCCTCCCCTCAGCTTCTGAGGGCCATAGGAGGCACACTAGTGAGGCAATCAAATCACCAGAAAATGGTTTGGTTGGTTCTTAATTTTGGCAGAGAGAAGATGACTACCAACTTTTTATTAATCTTCATGAATTTAAAAGAACAGGAAAGTTGCTCTGCTCTAAAGCAGTATTCTGTCACTGTATTTCAGTGGGACTCTTCAGGGGCTCCAGGCTGCAGAAGAAAGGGTGGGGGAGGGGCAGAAAGAGCCCCAGGTGGTGGACTGCTCACCCTATCCTAGACACTTGGGCAGATTATAAAGGTTTGCAAACACATTTTTAAACATCCATTTTACAGAAGGCAAATTCTGTCTTCATACCTCTCCAGGACTCTCCATATTTCCAGTGCCAGTTAATTCTTCCTCCCCCCCTCCCCCCAGCAAATCTCCCCCAACCATACAGCCTTGGCTTCTCCACTTCACTTCTCTCCTCCAGTGCCTTCCTGCTCTTCCTTAATCCTTATGGCATTACCCCTCACTGTTCTACTCATTCTTTCCCTTCTTTGAATACTCCTATCCACAACACACAGGTTCTGCACAGATCCTATCAGTCCTTGTGTCTCCTCTCCTATCTTTTGAAAGGCCAGCTATTATTCCTTGAGAATGACACTGGGCATGGGCCAGGAAGAACCAGCGAGGAACAGAAGGCAACCGTTGAGAAACAACTCAAGAAATCCATGTTGTCAGATTGAAGGTGGAGGGATTAAATAATCTGCTGTGGAGAGGAGCAAACAGCGTGGAGTCACTAGGCCTCTGGGGCTGTTGGTAATGTATTGGAGATAGGAGAGCTGCACAAAAACAATCAAGAAGGTAAACTTTGCTCTTGCTTCTTCATCTGAGGTGCCACCAACAAACTCCAGCTATCTATAACCTGGGGCACCCAGATGGAATGTCCATATAATTGTTGTATGCCGCCCAGAGTCACTTTGTGTGAGATGGGCAGCTATATAAATACGATAAATAAATACATATAAACATTCATATGAAGTTTGGCTTTATTTTTTTCAGGGAGTTCACATATTATATTTCTATTCATGTGGTTTTCTTGGTAAAAATACAGGAATGGTTTACCATTGCCAAGAGTACTGACACTTTTGAAATTTGGTGCGGGAGAAGACTCCTGAGAACACCTTGGACAGCCAAGAAAACAAACTGATGGATCATCACACAAATCAACCCAGAGTTCTCACTTGAGGCAGAAATGACCAGGCTCAAATTATCTATGCGGTTGCTAAGAGTTGACAGTGACTTGATGGCATATAATCAATCAAATCAGATATTAAGTGGCCGATCACCACAGTATTCATTTCCCAAACAGCTGGGATGTGTTTTTTTCCATATTTTCAGCTGTCTATTTTTGTTACTTTGTACATGGGCAAAATGGTGGACAGGCTATTCCTCACGTGTAAAGTAAGTTTTTTTAAAAGCTTTGGTTGCCCAGCTGCTAGTGATCTTGTCAAAGTCGTCAGAGGAAAATCTCTTCTTTCCTCTCCAACCAGTCCTAAACCTAAATCAGAGGTTTCGTGCACTTCAAGTATAATAAACATTTTGCCAAAGCACACTAGTATTGAATGGACAGGGACCATGGCCAAAACTCAGTATTTGTGAAAAGCATCTACCTCATCCATGCAAAAAGTACAGTTGCTGCTCACTCGGATGCATTCGGTGCAGCTGTTTGCTCTAGAAGCCACACAGTGGTTAACTAGAAAACAAGAAAAACAGGTTAGAACAAAATGGTCTAGAAATAGACAAAATTCTAAAGTGTGGTCATACTGTAATCCCCTTTCAAACCTGTGGTGTGGCTGTCAAAATTTTTTATAAAGATCTGACACGGTTCCCAGGAGCTCTCAAATTTTTCAGAAGGTGACCATAATCTCATAATATTGTGTGTCAGTGCAGGTGACAGTGATGATGAAGATGGTCATCATCATAATCATTGCTGAATTTCCAGATGTGAAATTCATAAAATTTCATTGTGCAAACACTGATATTTCATACACTTTTGATATGAGGTTTCAGCCATTTGTTTTCTTTTTAACATTTAATGTCAAATGATAATGCTTTAATCCTTATTTAATTTTGAAATTCTATGACCCCCCATTTGGAGTGCCATTGATTTTATGATGCCTGCAGGAGCATGCTTCCAAACTGCAAACAGTCTGGGTTGGGAAGAATCATAATTCATTCATTGTTACATTAATTTATTTCTGGTTTCTCCATATTAAAAGAACATTGCTTCATTGCAAATGCTCTAACAGACTTTGAAGGAACATATTGAAAAGGTACTTGTTTATTTTGTTCAATATATCTCTTCTCAAGAGTTCATTGCAAGAACAATTTAAGGGTAATAGAAATAACATTCAGGAATCATGTAACCTGTGGAATTCCGTGTATTTAGTATTACAGTTACCGATCTCAAGAACAGGTATATCAAAACTGTATGCAATAGCAAAATGACATATTAAACTACTATTCTGGAAGGATCATGTTAAGATGACACAATTTCGAGATGTTAGTTTGGCCTGCACCATTCACATATTTAGGTTGTCACCCTTTTGGCAGTGTGCCAGATACAATCACAAAATGGCAAAGCAATTCAGTGGTTCTTAAACCGTTTGACTCAATTACTCCTTTTCCCAGTCTCGAATAATGTCATTACCTCCATGAAAAAACAGATTCTGTTGTCTTACACAAGCATCTTGGCAGCAACAAAACTGGATCCTCGACTCACAAACAAGCAATTTCATATTGCTCCATTACCCCCAGGACATGCCCAAATTACCTCCTTGGAGGTAATTGTCCCCAGTCTAAGAACCACTGGCATAGACTATCTTATTTGAAAACAATGGAATATTTAGCAAAGTTTAGGGAGGAAAGGAAAGAGAAATCTACAATACACTTTGAACTTACTTTTCTTTCCTTGGCCTAAACTAAAAAGCAGTGATAACAGAAGTAGCTGGAACCACGATCTTCCTAATAGCTTGTCCATTCTTCCTGAAGTACAGTAGGCCATGGAGTCAGCAGTGGTTCAGCCTAGTTGTCTGATAATTCTTCAGTTCCTTTAATGCAGCCTTCTGTAATCTGAAAGGTGTAATTCCAACATATTTGGAAGCCATCAGGTTATGGATGGTTTATATAGAACAATCACAGATTTCTTACCACTGATAAACGGCGGGGTTTGGAATACAAAATCTCTGCTGCAGACATAAGAGACCTCAGAATGACCTGAGATATTCAGCAATACCATGTGGCTGAAGTAACATCAAATTCCTGAACAACCATGAAACAGTAACCAGAAATGCCTGCATGGTTGATATATACACTTAAAAATTAAGTTTGTCTCTATCAAATCTGAATTATTATGCTTGAAAAGGACAATGGGTATTTATTTCTATTTATAAGGGGATGTGACAAGTTTTGAACCCCCAAATCATAATCTTTGGAAATCTTACTTAGCTTCTGAGATTTCTCCAGGCTTTGCCTTCACACTTTCCAAGCACTCTTCACAGGCATAAAGAACTAGAAATTTGCTTGGGTGAGAGAAAGGGATGGGTAGAGAGGGACATAGATTCCATGTTCACTATAAATTAGCCTGCATGGAGCAATACAGCATCAATTCATATGATCTTCTGAAACTCAAGGGAGGTAACTGAATTAGAGCATCCACACAACACTGAATGAGGGATGGCCGGGATATCTTGTACAGAAAGGCATAGACCTCATACTCATGCAAGATGAAGAGTCCCCATTGCTCACATTATGTTGTAACAGTGAACTTGCAACTAGTTTTATATATCCCTTGGCCAGTAGTTTTATGTGTAAATAAGGAAATCCATTTCAAGAAATTACTATGCATCACTGCCTTGTGCTGAAGGTACGATCTATGTTCTCAGAGGAGGTTCATGGCTGGTCCCACCTTCCAGTTCTGGGTTCCTGTCTTAATAGCATAGTGGGATCATAAGCTAAAGGAATCCAGATGCAAAATTGCCAGCGCTCCAGCATTAGAAGTTGGAAAGGAATGGAGGTATATCTCCATGGCAAACACAGAAGCAAAAAAACACCACTAGGGCATGGTATGGACCTAAGAATGTAGGATGAGGCTCATGGTCACTGGCCAGCAAACAAGCACTGACTGGCTGATAATTCTCTGTGCTCTTTTGGCTATAAAGAGTAAGCACTGATTGGCAGGTAGTTCTCTGTAAACTCTATAGACTTGCAAACATGTAAACATACCCATGCTCAGGGTGCTTGATGTTCAATAGATCTGAAAAGAGTCAAAATAACCCATGTTGATCCTGAGTTCATTTAAGCAACTGTTTCCCAGCCTTGGGAAATTCCAGGTGTGTGGACTTCAATTTCCAGAACTTTTATCAATGGCCATGCTGGTTGGGTAACTGGCCCTGAGTCCTTATCTCCACTGTTCATTTAAGCAACTGTTTCCCAGCCTTGGGAAATTCCAGGTGTGTGGACTTCAATTTCCAGAACTTTTATCAATGGCCATGCTGGTTGGGTAATTCCAGGTGTTGATGTTTATACATTAAGAGGGCACTCAGGATGGGAAACACTAATTTAAATTGTACTTAGTGATGAAAAGTCCTGATAAGTGCAACATGTAAACATTCCGTAGAAGAAAGGTAATATCTTTAAGTACTGACATCTTTTGAAGATATCTTAACATTCACTGTCTCTTAATTATTATGGCTGCTACTCAATTGCGCCTTTTTAGCTGAATCACTGCTTGTTTTATTATTTTATGTATGGTTTTTTTTTTAGATTT